TATATATAATGGTATATTAACATATAATATATATTAATATTTATGTATATTTGTGTGTACATATAACACAAAACATATTTATAAGGCATTCCTGAGCAGTTAACCATGCAGGACCTTCAAGCACTAACTCATAATCTCTTCCATTTATCTGCTTGTGTAGGAAGTAAGGACAGGGTCTTTGAAGGCAGTAAGAGAAGCCCTCTGGATCTCACCATCTCCTTTGCCACAGTGTAGTCCTGAGCCCTTATCTATGCCCACAGTTACTGACACCACCCAGCTATCAGCAGCCCAAGTCCCCAGAAGGAGTAAAAAACACTGGATCTTTCTGCCTTTGTTGATTGAAATCCAAATAAAATAAATGCCCCTTAAACCCCAGAAAACACAAGAATAAACAAACCCAAAGACTAAGGAGGAAGAGGGGGATGGGAAGAGGAGGAGAAAGAGATTAAGAAAACAAAAACAAAAGCAAAAATAAAAGCCAGGAATCCAAACAGGTGCAGGAAAAGACTGGTGACCTCAGGGCCTGAAGGAGGCTAGAGCGCAGAGAATCGCTCCATCAGCCCGTTGTTGATTTAGGAACCTAAGAGGTGTTCCTTTCCCTTGCAGATGCCTCAGACTCAGTAAGAGGGGTTGTGGGGATTTGGTTTAGAATTAGCAAGGGCTAAAAGGGGTTCTGGGAAGAAACAGTCTTTAACTGCCCCCGTAAGGTCAAACAAAGCAAAGGGTTCTAGTGCCTCATAATTCCTCATGACTGATGAGGTTATTAATGGATGGGGTCTAATTAAAATAATTATGACTTCCATTTAAGCCTTAATTAATTACCAAGCTTAAACTTTATCCTTTTTTCAAAGAGATGCAATATTTTTATTCAGGAAACATGCTATGGCTCCAATACTGAATGCCCAAAGTACTGAAGGTAGCACTCCTAAGGGGCAAAAAGTCATTAACTTCTTTTTTAGAATTCAAAAGCTGCCAAGACAAGGACTTCCCAATCTTCTAGCAGCAGAGATGGAAACTTAGCATAGAAATGGATCTTTTCCATCATTTCTGGATACAAAATTCTAAGCCCTATATCCAGAATAGTTCCCATATGAATGAACTCCAAGAAGAAATTGAAATATTGAGTTTGTGTATGCTTCAGAGGTACTGTATTTGAACAAAGTTCATGAATTACTACTTGACTTAGATCTTGAATAAGAGGTGTGAGACATGCACCACACTTCGGATGGTGAATCAAACTGAAGAAGAGGAAGATAAAGCACTGGCTCTAATAATAGTGCCATTCCTTCAGACTATTCCAAAATAATGTTTATCTATGTTGTCCATAGTTTATAGATCACATTAGGCAATACTATTTAAAATACACAGAAAAAATAGGAATTTTCTATTTTTAAAAATAAATCATGAAAATAAATGAAGGCAACTTTACTTCCTACAAAAAAGTATGAAGGAAAGTAAGAAAGTAAGGCTATATGTCAGGGAAAAAATTGGGAAATTGGTGACTTTTCTATGCTTCCAGATTCAAGCTTTAACCTTCAAGGTCCAACATGTAGAAAACTGTACAATAACAGGCTAGTTCTGGCTTTCCATTTCCTCTTCCCTGTAGAGATTCCTCTGTCTAATTAACATTTACTCTTATCTCTGGCTATGCTTTAAGCATAGTAGTCCCAGAGGTCAATTAAACCACTGACGTTCATGCTTTAAGCCACCAGCTGGAAGAAGTCACTCTGAGAATGAGACCCAGCTCTGGACGTTTGGACTCACCTACCCCCTTTGTGAGATGGGATGCGGAGGCACGGTGTTCAGAACGTAACAGTGTCACCTGACCACCAGCTGTGGTCTATTCTCTCAGTCTTTGCAGTCCTACGAGAACATGTTCTTCGCTTCCCTCATGGCAGCCACAAGAATTTCCTGCTACCTGTGGTCCCTAATTATTCTAGTTAGTCAAATACCTGGTAGAAGCTTTGATCCCACCTCTTTCTGTTATGAGAATATAAATTGAGGTATATAAGAAGCAGACTAACTGATGGTCTCTCTAATCAAGCATCCTAAGCAGCTTTTTGTACTTAGCAGTTTATAAACACTCTCTGTAATTTCGCAATTTTAAAATTAATAAAAGAACTTTTTTACGGTGAAAAATAATTTTTGAAGTAATATTTCTCAGGTAGTAGTATGAAAAACATGTCATGGGGCCAAGACCTAATTAACCTACCAACAGTATAATTCATATGGTTTTCCATACTAATAGCACCTAAAGATAATACAATATTTGACTCATAGAATTAGCATATAAATTAATGTCATAAATTAGCTAGCAAGATTTAAGAAACTGTTTAATTTTTCCCTGCTGAAAAGAGTCATCTTACATTTCTTAAAATACTACGCAGAACTTAAAAAAGTACAAATGCTGCAGGACACCCTAAGAGACAGGAATTAATCTTTATCAAACTTTACTCTTTTTTATTTAAAGACCTTAACACATAATGTGTTTTTTTAAATTGATTTTAATTTTTAGTAATAAATGGATACTCCTTCTGTTTTACTTTTTTCTGACCATTTGATCTATTTGATTTATCCTGGGTAACCACATCATTTATCTCTTTAAACTTAGGTTTTTTTCTTTTTTTTAACTCTGGGAAAGGTAAACAGTAATCATGGTATTTTATAGGAAAAAAAAAACTTCAAAATGAGCATCTGAGGTAATTTAGCTTGAACCAACAAGCACCTAGGAAATAATAAGACTACATTCAGTCTAGCTTACTTCAGAATGAGAATTCATAAGCCT